TTTGATGTTTTTAAATGGGCGGTTGGAGATTTGGTCCCTAGAATATTTGGCTTTTCTCCTAAATATATAATCTCTCGCACGAAATGATTAAAAAAACGTGAATCGACTCTTCATAAGGGCTGATTAATAGGATAAATTGGTATTTTTGCCTGTCAGTTTGCATTAATCTGCCTACTTCTGGAACAGTAATCATATCTTTAAAATGAATCTGGTCTGTGCTTAATTCCCCTTAACTCATCTAGAATTGTGTACCCTTCTTTTAGCGTTTCCGAATCAATAAAAGACCTGTTCGTATTACAAGGACCGAATAGAGATGGGGACAAAATGCGACTGCAGACGACTGAGTTCAAATTTGTGTCCCCTTGTCCTTGACTTCTTCTTGAGGATGCGTGAGAATGGTAAATCAAATTCCCTTGTAGCTCCATGCTCACATAGTCTGTAGTTGACTTCCGACTTCAAATTACCATGACACCACTGTATGTCATATTCGACCCCTTTCACAGTACTCATCCCACCGTTTTTCTACCTTTGTGTCTATCTCTTTTACATCTTTGAAACACTCTTCTGCCCCCCCCCCCATCTCGACTTTTGTTACTTCGATATTCCTTCCCATCTGTGAAGCCTGAAGTCAACTAAAGGGCTAATGATAACTATCAAAACGCCTGCCATTTGATATAAATAAATAGTAGTTATAGCATAAGGCTAGAGTCATCGGTTATGGGGCCCTTCGATTGCTAAAATCCAGGAGTGACTGAACCACTTTTTGAAGGTTCGACCATTGTCTGAATCGATGGCAATTTTACACCAACGTGCTAATTGGACTGACAGATGTCTAAAGACCACCCAGAAGACGAATAAGCTCCGGGCCCTTTGGCATTTATTCCAAATTCTGTCTTGAACATAGAGACCGAGTAGGCGAAGTGGCGTTATGAAGGACTGTCGGGCCAGACGTTGTGCACTCATTCCAATTGCTTTTTCAAAGTAGACGAAGTACGTACTTCCACGATTTTTGGTCAAGTTCGGAAAATGCTAATAAAATCAAGCCATGCAATAATATTTTAATCAAAATCAAATAAGGCGGATTTTGTGAAACTGATGGAGGAAAATATTTAATGGATTAGATTGAATATGTACAATTCACGTGACTCATAAAAGTCGAAAAATGTCAAATTCTAGTGGGGTATTAAGGAGGTATCGATAAACCTTCGAGGTGATGGTACTTATGATGAACAAAACACCGATCAAGTGATGTTATTCAATAAAAGTGTTTTTAAATGTGACTTAAATTAGGAGGGTGGATTGGTGGAGGGGTGGGGGGGGGGTTGAGACAGACTAGCCCGTTAGTGAAATCCAAGATTCGAATTTTCGACTAAGTCAGAGCAAAAAAGAGGTATCAAGACTTCAGAGCTGGAACTTCTGCCTGCATACAACTACTTATCTAATGACTGTTAAGTCGAAACTACAGAATACTTGGTGTCAACTATCACCTGGTTGAGGCAAGAATCGAATCAAGGGATTATGGTTTATTGTGAAAATGGGTATTGATAAAAAAGAATGGTAATTAAAAACAACTTCATTCATCGACGGCCTTAGTTACTACCGTGCACTTTAATGAGAAGAAGTTTGCCATTGCAAAATTATCATGCTACTTCAGTCAAGAACCATGAAACACACACACACACACATCTCAAGTACTCCATTGACAAGGTCAATTACCTTTGCTAAATTAGCTCCAAACACTTTTTTGTTGCTACTCAAAATCTCCATATGACTAGAGTAAAGCAGTCATTATAATATTAAGACTAAAGATATCACACCTCCTATTGTGAAATTTGGAAAGATTTGGCGATTCGTAGAAACTTCGGCTAATATTTCTTAATATCAAATTTCTGCCTCCACCCCCCACCCCATAGTAGCCTTCACTTTAAGTAAGTTGCTTATCAATGCAAGTCATTATTTATTTATATCAAATGGCAGACGTCTTGATGGCTATCATTAGTCCATTAGTTGACTTCAGGATTTGCAGAGAGGAGGAGAAACAACAAAGTGGAAAAAATCGAAAGGGGAGGGGGGAACAGGAGAGTGTTTCAAAGATGTAAAAGAGGCAGACGCAAAGGTAGAAAAAGGTGAGGTGAGCACCGTGGAAGCAGTCGAATATGACAAACAGTCGGGTCATGGTAGTTTGAAGTGAGAAGTCAACTGCCGTTTAATAGACTTTTCTACCGTATGAGTGTACGTTGCCCATGGTGCACCACGTGGAGGTAAGTCTATCGTACGTTGCCCATGGTGCACCACGTGGAGGTAAGTCTATCGCGCACCCCATGCAGGTCATCATAAGCCCTCCACTCCAGTCCCACCTTGGTGTCTTTGTTTTCTTTGTTCTCGCCCATAACAACCTCTCTCAATTCTCCTGAGAATTTTTTGTGCTTAGAGGGTGCAGCCAACAACGTCAAATATGCTCAAAATGTGTCATGTAATTCTCATCGTAGGTGCTTTCGTAAAACGAATTCATGGTTGACCTCAATCAATCATGCTTTTGTCATCACGACTTATTCAGCATTCAAACTGAACTTCTCTGTCTTAAAAGAGTGTGACTTCAAGTTGGGCAATACTTTGCACTGACGCAAGAAGCATATATATATATATATGTATATTAACTTAATACTTGCCAAGTTCTTGAAATGAGAATTTAATGAAAAGTGTGATTAGCATTTCATACAAAATAATAATACTATAAATTAATTAAGGATGGAAACAAGACAAACTCTCCAAATTAATAATATGAGAGAGTAAGTCTAATTCACCCACTCACCATTGGTCAAAAATTTATAAATTCCAGGCTATTAGCATACTGGTTTTCTAACTGTCTTAAGTCCTATTATTGGTTTACTGATTAGCGTTTTCGACAGGTTGACATCTTTAATCGGTTTAATAAACGACAATGCTGATTTCCTTACATTACTCGACATTTTTATCTAATCAATGACAAAATAGCTAAAGAATGGCAAAATTGTAAATTTCTATAATGTTTTCTGAGATCAAAATAAACAGTTTTTTTAAAACAACTTTTAATCACTGTCCAAATCAGTGAAACTGGAAAATAGTATAAATAATTTCAGAGATTTCACACATTTGACGGACCAGCAGGTCCTCTCCTAGTGCCATTACAAGCAAAATTTCATGAATTATATGCAAAATGGCGGGTAGAATAACCTCGAGGGAAGAAATCGACTCAAAAGACAAATGTACGAACCTGGTATGCAAATTATTTTTTTGCTTACCAGGTTGCCAGAAATACTTTGCCACTTTATATTACCACGCTTCCACTTCGGTTCATTCTCTAGCCAGGCAAATAGCGGTGTGTTACCGGGTAATTTACTCGAATCGATTACGAATTATTGACCTTATTGGACGGCCTTAGAGGGTTAAAGCATATGCGTTTGAATTGAAATATCCATATTTGGGGAAAAGTTGTTACCCTTTGTGCGCAATGCCTTTCTGACCTATGCATTTTGCTGGCATGATAATGAGTCATGCGTTTTTGATTATTCAGGCTTGAAGGTTGTACTAGAGGCCATTTTCACAAAACTACAGACTTACTTTATGTTCTTTTTATAATGACCAATTGACATAATTATTCATAATGCTCTGACTGGGGCAAGAATGCGTCACAAGTTGTCGATGTTAACACGCATCTACTTAAAGCAAGTAGGCAACTAATAATGAGCTTACTTACATCAGACAGAGCAGAAAATCCATTGACTGTTACAACGAAATTTGTGTTTCAATCGTTATTTCATGGTAAAAGTGCATTATTCTAGGAAAGAGATTACTTTTCAAATCATTCAACCGCTTCTCAGATCAGGAATCTAGTGAACATATCATGATGTTTATGTTCTGCAATGGTAGGTGTACGACAGACCTACCGCTATGTGGTGTACTCTGGGCAACGTATACTCATGCCCCGAAAAAGTCTTTAAACCGGCAGCTGACTTCTCACTTTACACTATCACGACCCCACTGTATGTAATATTCCACCACTTCCACAGTACTCGTCTTACCTATTCTCTGCGTTTGTTCCTGTCTGTCTGTCGTCTGTCTCTTTTACAACTGTGAATCATTCTTCTGCTAACCCCTCGAGTTTTCCCACTTTATCGTTCCTTCCCTCTGTGAAACCCAAAGTCATCTAAAAGGGTTAATGATAACTATCAAACGCCTGCCATTTGATATAAATAAATGTTCTTCAGTGGTAGAGTTTTTCTGAAATGAAGCAAATTTTTACTTCATCTATTTTAATATGATCCATCATCAAATTGAATATTTCCTCTGAATTTTTACCTCATCGACGTTTGGATGTTTCTTCAGGAAGAAAAGCAGCTTATATTTTTGATTCTCTGTTAAAAGAGAAATAAATGTTATAAATTATTAAATCCATCCATAAATTAACATCAATGTTTTTATTATGGAGAGGTCTTATTGGCTAGGAGCCAACTTCAGCATCCAATCCAAATGAGTCATCTTATTGATTTTACTTGATGTCCAGGTGGAGAGGGGGGGGGGAGGGAGGTGAGGTATAGAGAAATTACTAAATTCAGAAGGATGCATTGATACCGCACTCACGTATGAACACCACCACCCACGCACAAGCAAGAACGGCCTCAGAGTGGAGGGCGCGCTGATTAATTCCACTACGTACGCACAATTAGCTGTGCACGCTCATTCGTGCACGCATATGATGACAACGCTCTCTAATATTTGCACCAAAATCAATAGTTCCTGATCGTAAATTGGTCGAATGAGAAGTGCGCGTTGTAGAAACTTAGCAAGGAGGCCCAACTAGAAACAGTAAGGGAAAATAAACAAATATTTCTCTCTTGTGACAGCGATTAGAACGATACCATACCCTGCATAGTAACAGCCAGCTTGCGTTCTCACATACACGCGCATATTAACTCATTCGCTTGAATTGGTGGACTCACATCTTCCTGAAAGCTCTTCTAATGGCTTACGAACCAGTATTAGCACCTAAAATTGTCACGGGTGATTTAAGTTTGACGATGTCAAGAGATAGCGGCTTTCGACATTATCTCAGGTCGATTTCGGCGTCTTTTACACCTACCCACACGCCTACCACACACAAGACTATAAGTACCGCTTTTATCAATCCAACATCAGAACTTGTGGATGATAATAGGCTCCCTTCAGCACGGAAGGAATATCCTGCGCGTTTAACTTCCTCACTACATCAACCTGACTCCGGATCTATGGCCAGTTTAATCCTACCGAGTTCAGCAACTATTGGTCCTGATAATGTTTTTCATGAAAATGGAATTCCTTCTTTATCGACACTCTCCTCGCCCTTTGAATCTCCCAACGCTTCACTGAATAATGGCCATGAAGAAATTCACGAACCCATTAGGCGTCCGACTAAAAGATCTAACCTCTACCTGTCAAGATCTCACCTAAATTTGCATACCCAAGGAGGCAGCCAATCCATCAGTACTTTCTTTAATAAACTCTTTCGACGGAGGGAAACTTCGACTGTTAGGTATCGCGAAAGTTCCACGTAAGTTCTCAAGTTCCTATCGAAATTGTCTCCTCCCCCCCTCCCTCTCCTTCGTTAATCTTTTATGAACTTCATCCTTTGTGTATTCAAATGAATGGAAGTAAATACCTCACCATGAGTCATGATTGAGTTAGAAACCTGTGCATTGCATGTGCGCAAACCTGGCTGATTTAATGACTTGGGCTTCTTGTAAGTATTTGAAATATCTTCCTTCCACAATCCCACTTTCATAAGGCCACAGCTGGTTAATCAGTCGGTGGGCAAAATATTGGGTGGTCTAAAAAATATCGATTTGGAG